GGAGACATAATATCCAACAAACAATAGTTTTAACAAGAGAAGAGAGAAAACAAAGAGGAAGCTATCATCCAAGGAAATAATATGAAGATATTTCCTGCAGCTGAAGGACATGAGTTTCTACAATGAAATCGCCCAACAAGTGTTTTGGTGGCCTGAATAAAACAGACCCACAGCAAAGCACATCACAGTAAAATGTCAGAATATCAGTGATACAAAGGAAGATCCTTCCAGAAAAGAAAAAGAAGATGACATAGACAAGAAAGGAAGTCAGCGTGGCATTAAAACTCACAACAGTAATTCTGGAAGCTAGAAGACAAAGAGTAATGCTTTCAAAGTTTTGATAAAAACAGATTTTCAGCCTCAAATTCTATAGTAACCAAACTATCAAACAATTATAAAGGTAAAGTTAAAACTTCACGGCAAATATTCTACACACAAGTCCTTTATCGGACATATGATTTGCAAATATTTTCTCCCATTCTTTGTGCTGTCTTCTCACATTCTTGACAGTGTCCTTTGAAGCACAGAAGTCTTTCATTTTGATGAAGTCCAAGTCATCTATTTTTTCTTCTGTTAACTTGTGTTTTTGGTGTCATATCTAAGAATCCATTGCCAAATCAAGGTCATGAAGATTTATCCCTGTATTTTCTTCTAAGAGTTTTATGGTTGTAGCTTTTATATTTAGGTTTTTTGATCCATTTTCAGTTAATTTTTGCACATGATGTGGGGCTGTTACAGAAATGAACCAAAGATGGCCCCGTGCATACTGGCCCCTATACTGTTTACTTCTTCACAGCAGGCCAGAACTACTAGCCCAAAGTCCGCCGGAGCCAAACTCAAATCTTACACATCCAGTTGCTGTAAATATAGCCCAAATAAGCATAGTGTTGACTATTTAGAGCCTTCCTGCTTTGCACACCCTGTAAAGGTACATCCAACATCTGCTAACCATAGTAAGACCAACCCTGTAATCATAAAACAGCCCAAAGCACTGCTGCCCTTGGAAGCTCTCTGATTCAGAGACTCCCCTGAGCAACAGCTCCTAAACATCTAAGTTCGCTCTCCATCTCTTCTCTCCCCTGGGAGTTCCACTGCCCTCTGCCCTTTCCAAGTGATGCCCCTAGTGCCACTGTCTCTGGAAGGTCTCGTGCTAGGAGGGGCTTTCCCACTTATGCAACCCTATCCAAGCCTATAAAAAGCTTGTACAACACTGCCTTCTCATGGTCCTGCTTTTTCCTTATTAGCCACGGAATTCTCAAACTCACCTCACAGGTAAGCAACCAACTTCCCTCTTTTGCATGTTTCTGGATGCTGTAGTACCATTTGTTGAAGACCTCTTTCCTCACTGAACAGTCTTGGGTTGCTTATTGAAAATCAATTGACCATAGGCACACAGGTTTATTTTTGGACTGTCTGTTCTACTGCACTAATCTGTATGTCTACTCTTATGCCAGAACCACAGTTTTGATTACTGTTGCTTTGTAGATTACCAAAACAAGTAGGAAGACTCACTCTTCCCGATTTCAAAGCTTAGCAAGTTCAGTCTTCCAACTTTATTCTTCTTTTTCAAGATTGTTTTGGCTATTCTGGATCTCTTGCAATTCCATATGAACTTTTGAATCAGCCTTTCAATTTCTACAAAGCCAGATGGGATTCTCAGGAGGACTGTGTTAAACTGGTAGATTGCCATCTTAACAATATTAAGTCTTCTGATCCATAAGCATAGATTGTTTTTTCAATTATTCAGATCTCCTTTAATTTCTTTCAACATTTTATAGTTTTCAGAGTATAAATTTTGCAATCCTTTTGCTAAATTTATTTCTTTTTATTATTATTATTTTATTGTAAATGGAATCATTTTCTTAATATCACTTTTGGATTTTTCACTGCAAATTTATAGAAATACAACTGATTTTTTTTTTTTTTTAAAAAATATTTTATTGTACTTCAGGTGAAGGCTTACAGAACAGATAGTTTCTCATGTAACAGTAACACACATGCTGTTTTATGACATTGGTTAACAACCCCA